TTGCCCAGGCTGGTCTTGAACTCCTAGCCTCAAGTGATCTTCCTGCCTCGGCCTCCCAAGTGCTGGGATTACAGGTGTGAGACCACACCCAGCCCTTCTGAAGGGGATTTTAATTGTGCTACAGGGATTTCATCTTTTTCCAACTTTTTCTTTCACACATCCTTTTTGTTTCAGCTCAGCTTCATCTCCCTTACTGCCTTTCTTGTGCTAGTTCATAGAGGCTGTGTCATTTTACTCTTTTTAGTCTGCCATGCCCATTTGGCATGTACACCTATTGTGTATGGCTGTTTTTAAGCCATACATAAAATGACAAAGATGAATAGTTGCAACAGCAACTGTATGGTCCTCTATGCCTAAAGTATTCACTGTTTGGTCCTTTGAAGAAGAAAAAAATTGCAGATCCACGTACTGGCGCAATGGCTGGATTCCCATCTCAGATTTAAGGAGGATGGCCAGGAAGGTGCAGAGCTCCGTCTTCAGCTCCTTGTTCCTACCAGCCTTTCCCTGGATTTCCTTCTGCTCTGTGGAGGTAGTGCTCTTCCCTTCTCTGCATTGCCTGATTTTCTGATTCTCTGCAATGATTTAGAGAGAAATACAAGGTGAGGCTGGGAGCAGTGGTTCACGCCTGTAATCCCAGCACTTTGGGAAGCCGAGGCGGGCAGATCATGAGGTCAGGAGTTCGAGACCAGCCTGGCCAACTTGGTGAAACCCTGTCTCTACTAAAGATACAAAAAATTAGGTGGACGAGCTGGTGTGTGCCTGTAGTACTAGCTACTTGGGAGGCTGGGGCAGGAGAATCGCTTGAGTCCAGGAGGCGAAGGTTGCAGTGAGCCGAGATCATGCCATTGCACTCCAGCCTGGATGACAGACAGGGCGTGACTCCATCTCAAAAAAAAAAAAAAAAGAAAGAAAGAAATACAAGGTGAGATCTTTGCTGTACTACCGTCCTTCTGGTCCCTACCAGTTCTGAAACTTCCCGTCCCTGGAGGAGGGATCGTCCCCACTGCCCCCACTCACTTCCTGCTTATTTGTTCTCTGGTCCTTGTCAGTCTGTCCTCCTCCCTTTTTTCAGGACCTTTCTGCTCATCAGACAAAGAGCTGTGTCCTGAGGTAAAACCTGAACAGGTTTTGCTTATTCCACCACCATCTGCCTTTAATTACTAGAGATTGCTCCCAGATCCCAGCGTTGGGTCATCATCAGTTTCGTTTTTTGGCACTAGTGTGAATGTTCAGGTTTTCTCATTGTCTTTATGGCTATTTTGGAACAAAACAAGGAGGAGCTACACGAGAGGCTGCCAAGTAGATGCCAGTTTGAAGAAGGAGTCAAAGCTGCATTTTAAAGCTGTGGTTTGTCCGTCGTGAAGCACTCTCTAGCTTTGTGTGTACCATAAAGAGAGAACGTACAGTAACGTTTTCCTTGTTCGGGGGCCATTGTCCAGTGACCTCAGCTATCTGGAATACAACCTAAACAAAGAGTCCACAAGCAGCCAAATAGCTGTCACAGTGTCCATGTTCTGAAGGTTATTTACTTTACCCAAGGGAGAATGTTTCAGCCTCTCCTTCCAAGCCTAGTTACCTGTATTTTACATACAATTCTAGCAAGCTTGGTCTTTGTTTTCCTAGCAAATCCGAAGGGCGAAGGGCGTAAGGGACATTTTGCAACAAGCACACTGATCTGACAAGAATTTCCAGCTGACAGGAAAGACACCAAAAAAAAAAAAAAAAAAAAAAAAGCAAATGCAACTCCAAATGCTCAGAGGCTGATGTCATTTTCTGTAAGGGCAAGCAGCCTGAGGTTCTCTCTCTGAGCACTCTCCAGTTGGACTCAGCAACCACCTTATCTGGATCTTTCCTCTGCCACACTGGGTGCTCAGTGCTAATCATGGATGCAGAGACTGTCCCCATCTCTCACAACTGGTTCAGACTGTGGTTCTAACCCTGGCTGTGCTTTAGAACCATCTGGGGAACATTAAAAAAATTCAGACACTCAGGTCACTCCCTTAACCAAAGAAATCAGAAAGTCCTGGGAGCGGGACCCAGGCATCGTGATGCCGCTGCATAGCCAGGACTGGGAGCAGGAGGTTAAGAGCAGGGGCTCGGCCGCCAGGCTGCCTCACTGGGCACACGACCTTGAGCTGGTGAGTCACCAGTATCTCCTGCCTTAGATTCTCATCTAGAAAATGGGGCCTGATTGAAGGGCCAAGACGAGTTCATCAACCGTGAGAACAGTGCCCAGCGCCTCATTAGTATGGTGGGAGTCGCTGCCATTAGTGAGGTACACACTGGATATTCATGGGTGATGACTGTGATTTGTCAAGCAGGGCCTGGGAGTGCAATCTAATTAGGCAGTGATGGATGCCACACATTCTAGGGCAGTCTCTGTCCCAGGTAGACACTTGCTTCTGGAGAGAAGAGCTGTAGAGGTTTCTAGGCTGGGACAGTGACGCCGAAGGGACAGGGGCAGGCTGTCCCAGGAGTCATCTGCCTCCCTGCTGCCTCCCTGGGGCGGAGCTTACCTTGGGCAGCCTGCTCTGGAACCTTTCTGCGCTCTCAGTTCTAAGCCAGGCACTGCAGTCCCTCCCTCAAAACATCCCTGAGGCTCGGAAGAGCTGACATGCTCAAAGGCCCCCTCTCTGCCCCAGCCTGTGCTATCTACGAGGCTGAGATGAAGGGGTGCGCCTTGGCCCATGGCGAGGAGGCAGGTGAAAGGGATTTCCTCCTGACTGGAAATGAAAGCGCTGGTGTGGGATGATGGCTTTTGTAAAATAATAATAATAATAATACAATCAAATAACAAGGCAAGGAGAATGGATTCAAGGCCGCCCCTGCGAGAACGTCACTGGGCACCGCTTGCATTCCAATGCGCTTCCCTAAGTAGAGAAAGCAGGAAGGGATTTCAGCCAGCTCACGCAGAATCGCCAGGACTTACGCACAACCTGGGTTCAGCCCCAGCAGTGGCTTCATTGTGAGCGTCATCTGTCCCTGAGCTGGCAAAGAGGCGGCCCAGAGCGGCTGTTCACCACAGGGAAGTGCGGCCGCGGTGCTGGTGGTGCTGATGGCGCCGTTGACTTGCGTGTTTGGGCTGCCGTCACTTTCATCCAACCTCTCAGGCTTGGCCACAGTAGAGTGAGGGCCACTCTCTCTGGACAGCCCAGTCCCTGCACCTCAAGAAATCCCTACTCCAGCAACCAAGCAGCCATCCAGATGGCAGAAGGGATGGATACTGTGGCCACCAGCGTCGTGGAGCCGGGGTGTCATGAAGGGGCTCCGAGGGCTCAGATCATAGGCAGCAGGAAGCAGGGCTGTTTTTCTCCCATTTCCTCAGACTGGTTCCTAACTGGGGGCCCCAAGAGGCTGGCACAGGAAGCAGTGGGAGGCTACCACACCCATGGCCCCCAAGGTAGTGGGATGGAGCTGCATTGATCTTCATTGAGGCATCAGTCAGTGTATCCCAGGACCTTGATGGAGGCAGCAGCCGCTAGAGGCCAGCTCTGGAGAGGGCTGCCTGAACACTCCCTGTAGATCTAAGCCCTGGGTTGGGGTGCAGACGGCACCAGGAGGCCTCGGCTTTCCTGCTTGTGCTTCCCCCTGTGCTCCCACACAAATCACTCCTCGCCTACCTTGACCTTGGTTTTCCGTCTGCGGGACAGAGGCTGCCACCTACCCCTGGAGCAGTCGCCCGTGTGTGCACGTGTATGTTTAATCTTTCCCCGCCTGGTCCTCTTTTCCTGATCCCTCACCGGGACACACACGCAGCCGACTTCTTACCAACCCATGCCACCACTGCTTCTAGAACAGGCTGGGCCCCCTGCAGCTCCCCACTCCTTCCCCATGGCCAGCCTGGCTGGTCTTCCCCTCGGCAGTCTGGGAATTGCTAAAATACAGGGCATTCCTCATCCCTGGCTCTGAGCTCACCTCCGCTCACACTGAGGGGATATCTGTCAGAGTATCGCCTAACCAAGAGTGCAGGGATCTCGGCATCTCAGGCCAGCCTTTACCGTAGCTACCCGGCGTGCACTGGGCAGGTGGCTTACCCTCTTCGAGCCTCAGTTTTCTTGTCTGCAGAATGGGAATGATACCTACACATCAAAGAAGGGTTGTGAGAAGTGAAGGAGATCCTGCCTGCTGAGTGCTGGGGGCAGGGCAGACCGGGGGAGATTTGCTGGGCCTCTGCGATGGGCTGTGCTGTCACGTGAAGCTGTCACACACAGACTTAGCGAAGGAATTGTGTCTCCTTGTTCAAAGAACAGCGATGGCTGGCAGGGAAAGGCCATGGTTGGGCTGAAGTGAGGAAGTTGCCTTTGGGGGTTGACACAGGCCCAAGGGCTGGCAGGCCCTGGTGCCCCGCACATCCTGCTTGGCTCTCGGCTGGGCCCTGGAATCGCCCAGTGATACCCAGTGGACGCAGGCCCAGCAGCCCTGCCTCTCAGCAGTAGGGCCCATTAGAACTGAACTCGTCTTCGTCAGGCATTTTATTTGCACACTCCAGTAGAGTGGACACCAAAGGGGTTTTCTAATGCTTCATGAGCTGCTAATTTCCCCCGTGACCTCTTTTGTTGAGACCTGACCCCAGCCAGAGGCTCTGCGCCATGAAAGCCAGCGCCTGACACAGACCCGGGGCGCGGGGTGACAATGAGGCCTCTATCGGCTTTAATCAGGCTCCAGTTGCGTCTTAAGAATAGGGAGATTCTGTGTGGCGCTCAGAAGCCCTGGGTGGCAGGAGCCCCCCGAGACTCTCACGGAGGCCAGGGCGGCTGCAGGCGGTGGCTAAAGCATTCGTCAGGCCAGGGAGGGGGTGGGTGGGTCAGATGGGGGCCCTTTGTCCCTCAGGCCTCTTTAGAAGCCCAGTCCTGCCCTGAATGGCCGCCTGCCCGCCTGGCCTGGCCCATGGGTATCACAGGCCTCTGGCTATTTAGGGAGGCGGCCTCCTACTCTGCCCGCCAGCCTATTCATCGCCAGCCTAATTAGTTTTTGTCTGTGCTCCCCCCACCCCACTGCAGACTGCGATTCCTACTGCAAGGCCTCCAAGGGGAAGCTGAAGATTAACATGAAAAAGTACTGCAAGAAGGACTATGGTGAGTGAGAGTCCCCTTGTGTGGGGAGGATGGGAAGGGGCCACGTGACCAGCGAGGCGCTGGGGCTGGGGTGCAGCTGGCTCCCGGTGGGTGTTGGTCGTGGAGACCCTGTGACCGATGGGAACTAGCCGGACGGATCCCATGCCTGGGAATTTCTCATCTTTTCCTCCTTGGCCCTCAGAGACAGGGGGCATGAGGAGCCCAGCGGCCTGGTTTCTCCCCTTCACCGCCCCGAGCCTGGGACACCCAGGCTGGCCTCTGGCCTTGACTCTGCCCCTGATGGGCTGTGTGGCCACAGATCAGTGGCTGTACCTCTGTGGTCTTCTGTGTCTGCATGATACTGCGGGGATTTGAACCGAGTCCACGTTGCTCAAAGGGAAGCTCTCTGGGGATCAGACAGGGACTGGGAGCTCCCCGGTGCATTTCAAATGTTCCGCCAGGCTGTAGCGGGGCCGGAAGTCGGCGCTGTAAACGGCTCAGCCCTCATTCCTATGCACCGGAAGTTCCAGTGCCCGGACCTACGGGGCAGACAGTCCTGGGGGACTGCAGACATTGCTGTCACCTGTGACCTCAGGCTCCCTTCCCGGGAAGGGTGTGTCCTGTCCGCTTGCCCTCACGGTGGTTGTGGAGGGCGGAGACGGTCTGGGAGCCTGCAGGAGGAGGGCCCCGCAGAGGCCAGCAGGCAGGTGTGTGTAAAGAGCTGGGGCTGGTGGTGGGGGCTCTTCAGAATGGGGGATGCAAACAGAAACCCCAAAAGTATTGTCCAGCTGACCACTGGCAAGGCCCCTGCATACAGCCAGGGCATGCACGTGGGTGGCTGAGGCCCTGCCACCATAGACCAGGAAGGAGGCCCAGGGCTCCTGAATCCAGGCGTGGTTCTTTCTAGCATGGGGCCTCTCCTTGACCTGGTGGGCCGGGGACTGAGCCTGGGGCTGGTCACCCTCTTCTGGGCCCACAACAATCCATATCTGCCCACCTCCCTCCGTCCTCCTCCTCACTCCAGCTGGACGTAGCCCACCTCTCCTGTCCCATCTGTAGCTGGCCCCAGGAGGTAGAGCCCCCATCCCCTCAGTGGCCCTGCCAGCCCCAGTACCTCCTGGCCACCTCTGGGAAGGCAGAACCACCTCTTTGTTCTGCTCAGCTTCCCAAGACTGTCCTAATCATATGCTTCTCAGGGGATCTGGGATGAGTCCCGTTGCTTACCTGAGCCTCAGTTGCCTCATCCATAAGATGGAGATGATGCTATTTGCTCCCAGAAAACAGTGACCTCTGCATCCAAAGGAAGCTGGTGGGGAAAGGGGAGGAAGGAGGAAATGGCGGTGGAAGAAGTGGGGTGAGAAATGAAGGCCACCTGTGGAGGAGGCCTCACCGCCCAGAATCTGAGCTCCGTCCCTTCCCTGACCCCGTGAGGGTCCGGCGGCCCTGCCCTGGGACTCGGGCCTCATGGAGATCCTAACTGGGCCAGCTGCTTGAAAACAAGGCTTTCTTCTTTAATAAGGACAGTGGTCGGGACCTTTTAGCATAGTGAAATAAATGACGAGGCCCAAAGGTATCCAAAGGAATCTAGAGAACTTCTAAAATGTTCTCATTTATTGTATGTGTGTATGTGAGAGTTCATACGCACACTCCCAACACACACACTGAAGCCAGGGTAAGACCCCAGTCATCCAGCCCCACTCCCCACAGGCCGTCTGGCCTCCCACAGGGTGAAGAAGAGCAGCTGGCACGTATTATGCATCAATTCAGAAGCTGCCAGGCCATGGACATCGACGTTCAAGGCCCTCCAGGGGTCCACAGTCAGTTCCTAAAAGCTGCGTTAAGCTGTATACATCCCAGGGCAGTGCAGAAACGTCCGACTCCCACGGGAAAACAAACCTGGATTTAGAAATCAAACTTGCAGTTACATTAAGTTAAAGGAAGTGCTGTCTCCACGCCAGGAAAGTAGGGGCCCCGGGTTGTTTTGAAAGGAGCTCAGGGCTCGGTGTGGTGACTCACGCCTGTAATCCCAGCACTTTGGGAGGCCGAGGTGGGCAGATCACCTGAGGGTGAGTATTTGAGACCTGCCTGGGCAACATGGTGAAACGTCGTCTCTACTAAAAATACAAAAATTAGCTGGGTGTGGTGGCGCGCACCTCTAATCCCAGCTACTCAGGAGGCTGAGGCAGGAGAATCCCTTGAACCTGGGAAGCAGAGGTTGCAGTGAGCTGAGATCACACCACTGCACTCCTGCCTGGCCTCCTGGGCGACAGAGTGTGAGACTCCATCTCAAAAAAAACAAAACAAAAAAAACCAAACACCACATGCGGCCCCTGAGCTGCAGGGACTGCATCCTCCCAGCCCTGGGTCTCCAGTGTCCCCTGGGGACTGTGAGGTGGGCCATGGGGCACGCCTCTCCCCGTTCCCCTTGGCAGCCCTCCTGTGAGATGAGGACTTGAGCAGGAGACCCAAGGCTTTTGCAGCTTTCCTAGGCTTCGGACCTGGGCACCACAGCACTGTCGTCCTAGCAAAGCAGCGGACCCCGAGGAGTTACGGGTTGCAGAGGGAAAGCCCTCTCCTCTCCCCATCCTTCCCTGCACAAGGCCTGGGGGTAACCTCAGCAAGGAAGTAGGAGGGGAAGGGAGAGGATTTAGGTGGGCTTGCTTGGGGGATGGATTGTTTTGATCGCCTGTTTGGTTTGGTTTTCGTCTTGAATAACTCTTTCAGCAGCTACACTGTGGAGAGGCAGCTAGGAGCAGGGAGGAAGGCACCGACTCGCAGCCTCTGCTCTGTTTTTCATGATTTTAAGTGAAATCGTGAAAATGGGGCTTGTAAAACTGCCCAAAGCCGATCCTGTGTTCCACCGGATTCTAGTTGACTCAACCTGGTTTTCTTGTCCTCTGACTTTGTTCCTTCCAGTGAATTCTGCCTCCCCAACAATGTTCCAGGGGGCACTTTGGCCCCTCAGAGCTCTCCTAGCCCCTCACCCCTTCTCTTCAGGCAGCCTCTCTGTCTGCTGAACCTGACACCCTCCTTCCATAGACTCGAAGGAGCCCCTTAGGCCTTCCCTGCGTCCTGCCCTGTTGTAGCAGCCCTGGGCAATGGGGGGCATCTCTCTTTGTCGGGGAAGGGTGGGGCACAGCCTCAGGTGTCATCAGACCCTCTGTTCCCTGACTCAGCCTTCCCTTTGCCCGACACCCGACTCCCTCATGGGTTATCAGCGAAGCAGGTGGCAGGGACGGTGGACTTCAGGTTCAGGTCATAGGCAGTGACACGGGCCTGGCTGGGTGAGGTGACTTGCCCAGTCACCCAGCCAGGCAGTGGCCCGGCCTCCCACTCCTTCCACAGAGGCCTTCCTTGAGCTTTTCCTTCCCATCACAATTCCTGCAGAGAGCTGCGGGCCAGCCCCACATGCTCATCTTTCTAGACCTCATGGTGGTTACCCGGTTCCTGCCCCGACACCCACGGCCCAGGCGCCTCACCTGGCTGTCTACATTTCTGCTGCAAGACAAGGCTGGAGGAAGAGCAGGTGGCGGGGGAACACAGTGGGATCCCCCCAGGGAGATGATGGGGGCTGGGGCTCTGGCACCGCTAGCTTTCATGTCCTCCTCACCATGCTCCAAGCCTGTGACTCCACAGCCAGGACTAACACTGTCCCTGGCATTCCTCAGCCCTGGCGGTGGTGGGGTGTTTCCGGTTCCAGGACTGTTCCTGGGACTCTTGTGGTCACTTAAAAGTTGGGGACACTCGGGGTGGCTGAGGCGTGAGGATCACGAGGTCAGGAGTTCGAGACCAGTCTGGCAAACATAGTGAAACCCCGTCTCTACTTAAAATACAAAAAATTGGCCGGGCACGGTGGCTCAAGCCTGTAATCCCAGCACTTTGGGAGGCCGAGGCGGGTAGATCACGAGGTCAGGAGTTCGAGACCAGTTTGGCAAACATAGTGAAACCCCGTCTCTACTTAAAATACAAAAAATTGGCCGGGCACGGTGGCTCAAGCCTGTAATCCCAGCACTTTGGGAGGCCGAGGCGGGCAGATCACGAGGTCAGGAGATCGAGACCATCCTGGCGAACACGGTGAAACCCCGTCTCTACTAAAAAATACAAAAAAACTAGCTGGGTGAGGTGGCGGGGGCCTGTAGTCCCAGCTGCTCGGGAGGCTGAGGTAGGAGAATGGCATGAACCCGGGAGGTGGAACTTGCAGAGAGCTGAGATCTGGCCACTGGACTCCAGCCTGGGCGACAGAGCGAGACTCCATCTCAAAAAAAAAAAAATTAGCTGGGTGTGGTGATGTGCACCTGTAATCCCAGGGAGGCTGAGGCAGGAGAATTGTTTGAACTCGGGAGGCGTAGGGTGCGGTGAGCTGAGATTGTGCCATTGCACACCAGCCTGAGCAACAGAGTGAGACTCTGTCTCCAAAAAAAAAAAAAAAAAATTGGGGAGTCCTCCCCACCGCCAGCTCCGGCTGTGTGTTCAGGCAGGAGGCAGGCCAAGAACAGTGTCTGGAAAGGGATTGCACGGGCTTCTGCGGAGGGCTCAGAGGAGTCCTGCAGAGTTGGGGGACAGGGCCTCGGGGAGCGTGCTTGGTCAGAGAGGAGTGAGTGGCCCCACAGGGGCTGGCAGGGGCCCTGAGGACAACGCCAGGCCCACAGGTTTCTCTGAGGCTGGGGCGAGGCCCCCAGTGGGCTCTGCTGGCCTCTATGGAGAATCTCCCATGAGTCATGTGTTGGGCCCCTGGCCCCTCTGAGAAGGTGTGTAAGGGGGTGTCCCTCCCACACAGACTTGGGCCAGCCCAGGGAGAAGGTGACCAGCAGGGGGAGGGCAGGAGGGAGCTGGCCTGGGGATATGAGAGCAGGGGAGGCCAGGCCGGGCGGGCCAGGGCGAGCCGGGCAGGGGCTCCCTCGGAGGCTGCGTAATCCCCGCTCTCTGACTGACACCCGGCAGGGGGCCAATTAGGAGAAGCATATTTCCTTCACCCAGGGCACTTGGATGTTCCAGAAGCCGCTAATTAGAACCTCGGGTTT